TATTCGTTAAGTTCATATAAAGTACCCATTATAGATGATAATTAGATTATATTTTGAAAAAAAAAATTGTAATTGATTTTTTTAACTTACTGTGCTTTTTGAAAAAAAAATAAATTATATTTATTAATTTCACATAAAGTACCCATTATTGACGATGATTAAATTGCATTTTGAAAAGAAAATTGTAATTGATTTTTTTTTAACTCACTGTGTTTTTTAAAAAAAATTATTGTATTTTTTAACTGTCAATTGACTTAATTTATGATTTGATTGTTAACTCCTTGTATTTTTTGGGGGAAAAAAATGGATTGTATGCATTAGGTTTACATAAAGTACCCATTATTGATGATGATTAAATTGTATTCTGAAAAAAAAAATAATGGTTTTTTTAACTATCAATTGACTTAATTTGTGATTTGATTTTTAACTTATTATGTTTTTTGGAAAAAAAAAATAGATTGTATTTATTAGGTTTACATAAAGTACCCATTATTGATGTTGATTAGATTGTATTTTGAAAAAAAAAATTGTAATTGATTTTACTCACTGTGTTTTTTGAAAAATAAATGATTGTGTTTTTTAACTATCAATTGACTTAATTTGTGATTGAGTTTTTAATTGAGGACATTCAGTTGCATAGAGATGTCTCAGAAGTCACAATGACAACAAATATTAATGTTCTTCCACAACAAGATATGAATAAACTATCACGTTATTCATTTTTTCGTATTATCTGTACATAACTCATAATTTTATACTTATATCATTACTATTCTAATTGTATTATTTCATATAAGTTTATTTTGGGATATTTAATTATTTTTCAATGATTTTTTAATGATGAAATAGTTATAAATCACATATTCGAGGGCGTTCGATTACATGGAGATGTGTCACAACTTGCAGTGACAACAAATAATAACATTGTTCTTGTAACGCCCTCAAAAAAAATGCATATAAACCAATCATTCAAGACATCCATAGACATAAAAGAATAAAGCATGTTTCCATTCATCAAAGTATTTAGTTCAAAAGTATTACATGTTGACAATAAAAATAAATGTCCTACGGGCTTATAACTTTCAAAGCTAACACTTGGTTACAAAAATAAAGAGTTCTAACTCTAAACACATTAAGCCCTTGGCTTGAATTTACATGTAATACACAAGAGAATCACAAAAGTAAGCCTTTAGCTTCTACAACCTCCCAAGCTACATCCTTGGAGGCGGCATATTACCTGTACCTGAAAGTGATGTCCCATATAAGGTGAGCCAACGCCCAATAGAAATATGCTAAACATAATATGAACGATAACTAAAAAATTAGGTTTTGATAAATGTTTAACTCAAATAAACAGACGTACATCTCTTTCATAACCAATCCATATTCACAGATATATATATATATATATCCTTTTCCGTTTCATTATCCAAACCAATTCTTAGATTGGTTCTCAATTCATTCAGACAGTTTATAACGAGACTACAACTCATGTTAACAATACTTCAATCATAATCACTTAATATGAGACTACAACTCACATCATTAACATTTCCATACTTCAATTCAAAATGAGACTACAACTCATATCAATAATACTTCAACACTTCAATTCATCTACGTCATGCAAACGTAATCAAGATTTCGTGACTTTCACCCTGGACACTCCGGCCAACTTAATTATCAATGGAGTTCATCCTCTATCTCCTCCCAAACAGGTTTGAGAGTACATCCCTATCTCCTCTCACACCTTGGAGTACATCCCCTATCTCCTCCCAAACAAGATACATATGCAATGTATTTAAACACTTATCATGTACAGTGATCAAGCAAGCACATATTCAATATGTCACTCCATCCGTCATATTCAATGACATACTCAATTGATTAGTTTTAGTTTACCTAATCATCATGCGGTGTCTACAACAATCAAGACTATCCTCCACCGATAGCCCAAAACAATTATTTCTAAACAGATAGTAAATTCATCAAACAGATAAATTATCAACATTTTCATAGGTGAGTGATTAATCAATCCAACTACACCATTTCATCTCATAACTTCCTAATTTTATTATTTCCAAACCAATTTCACATTCGCATAATTAATTTCATTAATTACACCAATGACCCGATTAGGCCCAACAAAGGCATTTTTTCCATTTTCTCAACATTGACCCAAAGGTCCAAATATCATCAATAAACATCAATAACCTCATTTTAAGACCCATATACACATGTATAGTTCAAAAGGAACAAAACTCCTCTTTATACATTTCAAGTTTTGAAACCCTAACACCCAAAATTTCTCAACTTCAACATTAAATCAAAATGACCACATGTTTATGTCAAAGGTCATAAATATGAGTAGTTATCCCTACCTCAAATAAAGAGACCCAAAGGAGATGATGAAAAAACTCGAAAGTGCTCCAAACCCACAACTTTTAGGATCAAAATGGAGGTCTTGAGAAGCTCCAACACTTTAATGAAGACACAAGGGTTGGGTCTCACTAAATCAAGATCAAAATGTAGATAGAGAGAGAGAGAGAGAGAGAGTATTCTAGAGAGAGAAGCTCTCAAATTAGGATTTTGGGGTGCTTTAGAGAGAGAGGACCAAAAAAAGTGATTCAAAAAGCTTCTTCCCGGATTGAAATACACAAAGTCCACTCGAGCGTGGAACGCCCCGCTCGAGCGTCAGACACAGACTCCCGCTCGAGCGTGAGAACGGACGCTCGAGCGTTGAAAGCACACTTCCAGCATTTGTTCTACAATAAGGTACAAATTATTTCGTAATAATTTTGTTTAAAAAATAATGTCAACTCCTGCAATTTAAATATACATTGTTTCATTATATATGTAATAATCACTTTAAAAAAATTTGTACTTGTGTTTTTTTAATTGATTGTGTTTTTTTGAAAAATAATAATAATAATTCAGTTTGTTTAGTTTGGATTTTCATGATTCACTTTTTAGAAAATTAAAATTTTTTGTTTTTCGTATATTTTTATTTTAACCGACTTTTGTTAATGTTTTAAGCATTTTTTAAATTTTTAGATACACCTAACATAAATACACTTAAAAAGTATAATATTACTTTTAAAAAAATTTGTGATTGTGTTTTTTTAACTGATTGTATTTTTTTGAATAAAAAAATGATTCAGTTTGTTTGGTTTGGATTTTCAGGATTCACTTTTTAGAAAATTAAAATTTTTTGTTTTTCATATTTTTTTGATTTCACTGAATTTGTTTAACATTTTAAGAATTTTTTTAATTTTTAGATACACCTAACATAAATACACTTAAAAAGTATAACACTTGTGAAAAGAAATCTTTAAAAAATTCACGAAATATCAAAAATATGAGGAAAAAAAAGAAAATTCAATACATTTTCGTATTCTCGTGTATGTATTTTTTATAAATATTCTATTTTTTAGATACATTTAAGTAAGGTACATTTTAAAAAGTTAAAAAATTATTTAAAATTTTAAAAATATTCACTAAAAACCAAAAAATATAAAAAATAAATGATTACGTACCCTTACAAAATATGTTTGTATAATATTTATTATATAATAATTGATTACTTATTTTTTCTATTTTCTCATAATGTAAACTTAACTTTTTTTATTTTTCTATTAATAATTCTTAATATTTTCATTTTTATATTTCTTGAGATACATAAATACGTCATATAAAAATTATAAATTCATATTTTCCGCATATGCATCTACATTGTCAATAGGTGATAGAATTATCAGATATCCCTATTTTGCTAATTTACATCCATATGTAATTGGAGCGATAAATCTTAGTTAGTCAGGTTGTTATCTGTGACTAATCATTCTGGGGGAAATATGACATTCAGAATGATTTTTGTTGATAGACAGGTATTTACAACTCTTATCATGAGATAATTGTTAAATATTTTGTTTTATATTATGTTAAAACTGTGTACTTATTACCTTTTTTCAAAAGGGAGATGCTATAACAGGAACTATATGTTATGAGGAATATGATTACTTCAAAGAACATTTAATTGAAAGAAAAATATATTGTTTTAGAGAAGTTCATATCACATTGGCTAATGAGAAATTCAAGTTAGTGCCATATTATTATAAAATGTCTTTTTCTAATGATACAACAATTGTGCACATATTTTTGATCATGATAATAATATACCACTTCAGTGATATTTCATTAAGAAATTATCACAAATTGGCCAATTTCTTCATCAAAATGTTCAATTAATAAGTATGTTACTTTTACCAATACAACAAAATTAAACTATCAAAACAATAAACATGTCAATGCTAACATATATAGATGTGATTGGCTTGGTTGTTAGTGTAACTGAATATCAAGGTATTGCAAATCATGATAATTACAAAAAAGAGATTCTACTACTTGATACAATGTATGATGCCATGACATACTTTACGAATTATATTATTTTTGCTAATCTCAACTCTCTTTTTTTTTAGTTGTAAAAACAGTTGCACATTAGTAAGACTAATTCTGTGGGATGTGTTTGCAACAACTGATGGCATGCAACTATATCATACTTTAGAAAATGATAATATTTTGTTTGCTATTAAATTAACAGTTAAAGATTATCATGGTAAGATTATTTTTCATTTACTTTTATAATACCTATATGCATATATACAGATATTGATATTAACAAATTATCTTTTTTCAATATCTAGATCCATGTCTCGCTATATGCAAATACAACAAGTTATATACTAATCATTCATTCCGTTATATTAATCATATTTAAGTGTGGTATGTTATGATTCTATAATATTAACCAATTATATATGACAATATAATTCTCACAATTATATATATATATATATATATTGACATGTTTATCTAGGCTTGGTATGAATCCTATATCACAAAAGTTGGTATATTGGAATCGAAAAAATGAATTCACAATTTCACAGTCATTGGTAATATTAAATGCTAAAAGAATTTGAATACATGATTTTGCACCTATGCCAAAGGTAAGAATTGTTATCATCTCAAGTAAGCAAGGATGGACCGAGGGGGGGGGCCTTGCAGGGGCGACCCCCCCCCCCCCCCAAAAAGTTTTGAAAAAATCCTCTAGATATAGTATTAAAATTACAAACATTTTTAAATTATGTAGGTTCGCCATCCCAAAGTTTTTGCAAAAAATTTAAGAACCGCCACCCCCTAAATTTTTTACTTTAAAATTAAAAATTTTAATTATTTTTTTTGATAAATACTAAAAATAATAACAATAATAATTTATTTTTTTAAGTATGATTACTTTTATTTTAAATTTAGTAATGTTAAAATAATTGAGAATTTATTTGTTAATATGTTAAAGTCCTTTTTGTCTGGTTATGATTTTTTAGTTGTTTGGTTATAACTAAATAAAATAAAATAAAAAAATAATACTCGCGTGTAACCTGTCCCACACTTGAGTTGAAAAGGTTTCTAAATTCTTATTAACCTAATTGTTTAAGCCCCTTCTCGACTTTACTCTCTCTCTCTCTCTCTCTCTAAATGATATGAAAGTTTCGAAAAGAACTCACAGGCCTCGCATCGCATTGAAACAACAAATGAAGGATTCCTTTTTCACTTTTTCATTTCTAGGTAATACTAATCTCTTTCAATTTTTTTTCATATTTATTCACTCATTTGTTGTCTAATTTTTTTTTAAATGATTAATCTCGTTTTTGGAAATAACAAAAATCTTAATATACTCTGTTTGGTTGCTGAGAAACTGAAGGAAAACTAATGAAAATGAAATTGAAATCTTCTCTTGCTTTGGTTGCAAAACCAAGCATGTACTGTAGGCTTAAATAATAATAATAATAATAATAATAAATATCTTTAATTTCTCAAAGATGAATAAGCTTAAATACCTTTAATTTCGTTGCAATTCACTTCAATTTGGATGCTATTCATCTCGTTAGGGTTAGAAATTCTATTACTCTGAAGATTCTTACTGTTTACCCATTGAAAATGACATGTCCTTTGTTAGATTAGATTATATTGTTAGTGTGCTTCTTACCTAGTGAGTAACAAAAATTATTTAATAAATTTCAGGTTCATTTCTGATGGATTTTCCTCATCGAAGAAAGTTAATAGTGGGAAGAATTGTGCTTTCTTAACTCATATGGGAAAGGATCCTAATTCATCACACAAAATTGCTATTAAATCTTGCCATGATTTAACAAATCAAGCGCAACACATTTAGAAGATAGTTGAGAAACAAACTTCTCAACAAGTTACAAAAAACCGTTTGTGGTTAAAGACTACAATAGATGCTGTCAAATGGCTTACATTTCAAGCTTGTACATTTAAAGGCCGTGATGAAAGTCATGATTCTAATAATCGAGAGAATGTTATTGAATTGATAAAGCTCTTGGCATCTTTTAATGCGGATGTGGCAGATGTTGTGTTACACAAAGCTCCTCAAAATGCTTCATACTACTTGCATCGAATTCAAAAAGAAATTCTTAATATTTTCTTTGACAAAATACAAAGATTTATTCGTGAAGAGATTGATGAAGCAAAATTTTGCATTATAGTGAATGAAACTCGAGAATCAAAGAGGGAGCAAATGGCCATTGTTCTAAGATTTGTTGATAAAGATGGTTTTATAAAGGAGCGTTTTTTTGACATAGTTCATGTATTGAATACAACATCAGCAACTTTGAAAGAAGAAATATGTATTATCCTATTTCGTCATAATCTCAGTGTACAAAATATTCGTGGTCAAAGGTATGATGGTGCTAGTAATATAGGTGGAGAGTGGATTGGGCTGTAGGCCTTATTTCTTCATGACTGCCATTTTGCGTATTATGTTCATTGTTTTGCTCATCGACTCCAATTAGCATTGGTAGCGACAGCAAGAGAGGTTATACCCGTTGCCTAATTTTTTTCTTATCTGGCTCTTACAATTAATCTATGTGGCTCTTCTTGTAAAAGGCATGATCAGTTGAAAGTTGCTCAAGCTGAAAAAATTGTAGCAAAACTTGCCATTGATGAAGTTAAAACTAGTAAAAGCAAAAATCTAGTTAGGACATTGAAACGGATTGGAGATACTCGATGGGGTTCTCACTTGGGATCTATTTCCAGTTTGATAAATATGTTTGGTGCAACTTGTTCAATCTTAAGTAATGTCATCAATGATGAAGCCACATCTACTCAACGTGCAAATGCAAATGGAGTTTATGATAAGATTACATCTTTTGAGTTTGTGTTTATCTTACATCTTATGAGAGATATTATGGGGACTATTAATGATCTTTGCCAAGCTTTTCAACGTAAAGCCCAAGATATATTGAATGCAATGCATCTAGTGTCAATTACAAAAGCACTTGTTTAGAAATATAGAGAAGATGGATGTATTCCTTTGTTAGAGAATGTTCAACTATTTTGTGGAAAATATGACATAGATATTCCTGATATGAGTGCTCATTACACATCTGGTAGAGTTCGTGTTTGTCACCAAAGAGATCACATTACTATTGAGCATCATTTTCAGGTTGAGATTTTTACAATTATATGTGATTCTTAATTGCAAGAATTGAACAACAGATTCAAAGAAGATGTGACGGAGTTGCTTATTCGTAGCTCTACTTTAGATCCTAGGGATGATTACAATTTGTTCAAAATTGAAGATATATGCCAGCTTACAAATCAATTTTATCCTAATGAGTTTACAGAGCAATAAAAAATACATTTGAAATTCCAATTGCAAAATTACGTGATTGACATCCTTAAACATCCTCAGTTTCAGCAGTTGTTGACAATTTCTGAATTGTGCCAAATGTTGGTATCAACAAGGAAGTCAACAATTTATCCTCTTGTCGATAGATTAATTCGTCTTGTTCTAACTTTACCAGTTTCTACGGCGACAACAGAACCTACATTTTTAGCCATGAAAATTGTAAAGACTAGATTACGCAACAGGATGGAGGATGATTTTCTTTCAAGCTACTTGTTAACAAATGTTGAGAAAGACATTGTTCGAGATTTTGATGTAGATTCCATCATAGATGTTTTTTATGTAATGAATGAACGTCAAGCACAACTTTAGATGCCTAAGTAGTTATGTAAAGCAAATATTTGCTTTTTTGAAAATTAATATGGATTTATTAGAACATATTCAATTGTATTTTGATAATATTTTATAATTATATACGATGAATGGAAACATCTAATTATATATTTTTGTGATATTTGGGTAGAAATTGATATTGTATATCACATGCTCATTACAAATTTTTTGATAGCATATACACTCGCCCCCCGATATTAGAATCCTGCGTCCGTCCCTGCAAGTAGTGAAAGTTAAATGATATGTATATAAATTTGTTTATAGAGAAAGATTAATTTATATTTTTTCAAATATTTTGTTGTAGGACAATCTTTAATGGTTTTGAGCAACCAAATATACCCCGTGAATCACAACGCGGCATAGAACGCGTTACCACTTTGACCCGAGTAAATCGATACTCGGGGCCCACCTAAAAAATAGACCGAACTTAGGAAAAAATTCTGGTTTTATCCAGAATTTTATAACCATTTCCAACATTTGTAGGTTTCATATTTTCGAATACTTGGGTACATCGAACGAATTGATGTTGACAACCTTTGGATTGATTTGTGCAAAAGCTACTATCAAAAAGTTGAATATCATTATGGTCACATTGTTTGTCGTCAGTGCATACATGATGATATTAATATTATAACAAGGTAATTTTCTTTAGGTAAATAATTGTTATGTATAATAATAATTCAAACTTAACAAGTGTTTTAATTTTTTATTAGGTACAATATTCCCTTTTAACAAGTGTTTTTTTTATTATTGGATATATTGTTAACAATGTGGTTCAAGACAATACTGGTTCAATAAATCTGACTATTCAAGATAAACAGACAGAATTTATCTTACGATGTCAACTATCATATTTAAAAATATGAGATCAAATGTAGGAAATTATAAAATTTATTATAAATAATTTATTCTTACCTTTTTAACCATAGTTTTATAATTTCAAAATTTTACAGGTTAATCGAGTTAGAATGATTGAACATTATATTGTGTCATGCCAAGACCGTGCCTAAGTATTTGTCATACTTGTACCAACAATGTTACGTCAACTAGATTATGCACCGTGCGTGACCTTTGTTTTAAATATAGATTAATCTGAAGAATGCCTATACCTTTTAGAAGGTAAAAAAAAAAAAAAATACTTAACATTTTATAAATACATAATATATGTGTTATTCATCAATTATAATACTAGCTATCATGTTGACAATACAAGAATACTGATAGAAGATTCACAACGATTTAGATTTTGTTATAATATATTTTATTTATTCAATGAATTTTGAACAAATGTAATAAATTTTTATTTTTATTACTTCAATTATAAAATGTCAATATTTTCTTTTAAAATTATGTATATTTTATGCTAACAATTTAAAAATATGTTTGATATAATCATAAATAAAATTTTTAAATCTAATCCCGTATATAGCAAGGATGATATGTTAGTAAAATATAAAGAAAAGAGTATTGTTATTTAAATTTAAAAATTAAACTCATTTTTTAAACTTAATAATTAATTAGCCAATTACTTTCATGTGTTATTTTTTTTTCTCATATTTTTTTAATTATTAATCAATCATTTCACTTACACATCATTAAATCTAAAAAATTGACATATATAATTTTTTCGTAATAGAAAAATTAACTTATTAATAATGATGTCTACTCTCATTGTTGAAATCCTTTGTGTTGGTTGTCCGGAGGGAGATTAGAGTAAAATATATGGGTAAATTACATTAGTTTCTTTTTTGAAATTTAAAAAATAAATAAATCATTTCATAAATTTGATATGGCATTATCTTATTTTTAGTAAGGATAAAGTAATAGAATATAAAAGAGAAAAATATGCATTACTCTTTTCTTTTTTTTATTGTTATTGATGTTAATGGGTCAAAATGTTATGAAAATTTAGTTGTCGTTTGGTAAGAACTTTTTTAGTTAGTTTTTTTGAGTTTGGACTTTTATTTGGATTAATTTTTTTTATTTTTATGAGAAAAAAAAGTAAAACGATTATGATTTGTATGTGACTTTTTGTCTTATTAACTTATTTAACTTATTTTATTTTTTATATTATTTTAGTCTCAAAAATCTTAACCAAACGAAGTCTTAATATTTAAGAAATAAAAGTAAATTGTGTCAAATTTATTAGATTTAATGTATTTCTCTTAAATCTTAAGAGAGGTTAATTTACCTTAAATAATTTCTTTGACATATTTTAAAAAATTAAAAGGTTGCATTAGCAGGTGTACGTAGAGTAAAATAAAAAAAATAAAAAAAACATTTGAAAAGTACAATATATTGTTTTATTAATTTTAAAACACTTTTCTTTGATTTAATTTTTTTTTCTATATACTTTACATAAGTCTCAAAATATTGAATAATTTTCTAAAAGCATTTGTTACTACGTGTCAAAATTAAAATATGTTCTGACATTAACGTTGGATAGTGTGATACGTATGTGGGTGTAATCAAAGAAAGCCATCCTCGTCAAAAAAAAAAAAAAAAAAAAAAAGAGCAGCCGATGAAGACTTGCAATTTGTGTTGAACGTGGCACGTCGTTGAACGTTGGCTGCCTGTATGGTAAACAATAACTATATGCGTAATGCTAGACAATTACGATTTGAATTCTTAAATTTATCTAAAAAGATGTAGTAAGATAGTTCATTTTTCACAATTAAATATATATCAAATTAAAAATTAATATGTATCTTGTCACAAATTATGAAATTTTTTGTGAATTTTAAACTTTTTTCTTACTATAATTGTGGGAGACTTTTTGTAAATTTTAAATATTTTTCTTACTATAAGGGTGTTTGGTTAGAGGCTATTTGATTAAAATAAATTAAAATATCACATCTAACTCATAATTATTTTATTTTTACTCTCATAATCATCAAATCAATTATAAAAAAAAATTAACTATCATTTAAAACATAATTTTTTAATTAAATTAAAATAATAATAAAAAAATCAAATAAGTTTTCCATGCCTGTATCCCTGTCGGGATATATTATCTTAGGATAATTGGTGCTGAGTTGTGGGTCTATTTTAAGGTTAGATTGTGTGATTTATATATATAGATTTGATTGTGTGATTCCAACCACATCAAATTCAAATTTATACTATGGGCACTTCACAAAACACCTTTTCTGAGTAGCTCTTTTGCAATTAAAAAAAGGATTCAGCTCCATCCAGTCAATGATCGGGATTGGAAGAGATTGTTTGGACTTGTAAAATTCGCAAGACTTCTTGTTTTGATTATTTAAATTATTTATTTTGTTAAGTCCTCTATGTATATTATGTATATGAAAATTTTAATCAATTTGATAATCGTAATATATTTAATTTGTTATATTTGTAACAAATATATGGACGCCAATAATATTTTTATAAATAGATCATTTATTTTTTATGGCAAACTTAATAAATTAAACAGGATGTGAATATTAAATTGAATCAATTTTTTTTTTTTGGATAATATATACGAAGGACCTTATAAATGAACGGTTCAAATAATTGAATAACAAAATCGTAATCAGTGTGTTTGGTTTAAGTTTTTTGAATTAAATTTTTTGAAAATTGAGTTTTTTAATTTTCGTATTCTTTTGTTTTTAGTGAATATTTTTTAAATTTTAAACATTTTTTTTACTTTTTTAGATGTACGTTAGTTAGATGTATCTAAAAAGTAAAAAATTTGTGAAAAAATATTTTAAAAAATTAATAAATACATAAAAATACAAAAAATATACTAAATTCTTATATTTTTTTGTATTTTTGGTATTTAGTGAATTTTTAAAAGATTTTTTTTATAATTTTTTTACTTTTTAGGTGTATTTTTGTTAGGTGTGTCTAAAAAGTAAAAAAAATTGTTTAAAATATTAAAAAAATTCAATAAAAACAAAAAACTACGAAAAATAAGAAAGTAGAATTTTCTAAAAAGTATTTTCTGAAAAATGAAAACAAACAAGCTGAATAGGTCTCACAAGTCTCGACAGCATCCTCCAATCCAAAGAAGTCTAGTCCTTAAAAAAAGTGTACAAATCGTGAAAACAAAAATGATTGACCTTCTCTTAAGTTCAAATCTGAATTTGAAAGCTGTTAGACAATCTTCATTGTATTTAAAATTATTAAATTCTGTTGTGTACTAAACAACAACTAGAATATACAGAAGTAAAGAAAAAGAGAGAATTTGTTTGATTTCAAAAATCAAACTAGAAATAAAAAATAAATAAATAAAAACAGATTTTATTTTGTTACAAAAACAAAATTAACAAAATAAAATCTAATTTAAATAAACAAATAAAACAGAATAATAAATTAAACAACTTAGGGTTGGTTTAGAATGTTCTAAAAAAGTGCACTTTTTGACTTATTGGCTTATATGGGTTGGGTTTGTGTTGGGTTTGATGTGATGTGTTAGAGAAGTGATGTGATTTAAATAAGATGATGTGACTTAAATAGGATAGTGACTTTTTAACTTTTTGTATTATTTAGGTTATGCCAAACTTGGCCTTAATTAATTTCTTCGAATTATAATCCGATCAAGCCCAGTGTTTGACACTGTGTCCTTAAAACAGATTTGTCCTCTCCACGGTGCTTTCAGAATGTGGACGTCTATCTCCCAGAATGAAATGATCAACTACAAACAATAGCAGCACTACAAATTGTTTGCCTTACGAACACACTAAGTATTTATACTCTTTCTTTCAAAAATTAAATGCAGCAAAATACAGAGATTTATAGCAGAAGATGGAGTAGAAAAATTGGAGTAGAAATCCAAATGGGGAGACTAGTCTATTTATAGATGGATTGGTAGCTTTTCATTTTGAATTAAACAGGTATAGTACCTGTTCATTTGAATTAAACAGATATAAATCTGTTTAAGGCACTGTTTGATTTGAAATTCAGATGGATTTGAATTTGAATTTGGGTGTTCTGTGTGGGTGGATTTGGATTTGTTTGTTTGTTGAATTTGAATT